AATTATTTTTGAATAAAAATTAAGAAAATCTGTAATGCCACTTTTTTACTGGGGAAAACTAAAAAAATTTAATTACACGATTTATTATCTAAAAAATAACTTATATTTATACGAAATGGATAGTTTTTAACAGTTTTGCATTGGAAGGGTTTATTTAAAAGTGATTAAATCACTTTTGGATATTAAAATTCCTAAACACTTGTGTCCTCTCCGTCTAAACTATGTCTCGACCCTACTTTATATAGATGTAGTTACTAATTTAAATAAGTGTTAATATAAATCGTAATTAACTTAATCAATCACATTATTTTGCCTATAATCGAATTTAAAAAATCCAATAGGATATAACAATAATTATTAGATAAACAATTTTAATAAAATCCGTGGAAATAAATTTACATTCTTCAAACCGTGTGCAACACTATACTATAAAATATGTATTATTATAATATAAGTACAAATATAACGGTAAAACGAATGGTTAATCTTGCATTACATAATATTCTAACGACCTCATCATAAATAGACATACACATCAGTTTCAGTGTAGGTACATGTACATGTATAATATTGGCTATGTCTGTTTTACAGCAAAACAAAATGAATGTCTCGGTTATTGAAATCTGCCGTTGAACTTTATTTATTTTATTTCAAACCAGAATATAATGTGATATAATATTGTAAATAATTTTATTAATAATACAAAACACATAATATTATGTACATTTACGACGTCTCGAGAAAACCAATGCCCGTTCAGCCAAATGTTAAAACACCATATATACTTATTTCGTGTACATGTGTGCAACAATAGAATAGTATAATAATGACTACCGTATAAATCATTAGTCTCCCAGTGAAGCGATGCACCGCATAGGTTTCTCTCAATGAAAACGACATTATCTTTTAAATATAATGTTTATTTAAGACTGTCAAAACATAAATATTGCCGACGATTGACGGCGAACAATAGCCGGCAATAGCACCCGTGTGCCCGATTGTTTATACAGAGGGATATGTATTTGTGTGTGAGCTGCTGTAGGTAGTATACGCATGATTTTAAAAGTATTATTTATTGAACGTTAACGGCATAGCTGTATACAAGAGAGGTATGTATGTACATGATGGGAGTCGTTGCACCAAGGGATACCAACGAACCTGGGAAATCGCAGTATTTGTGAGAGTAAAAAAAAACAGCACATAGACCACTAGCAAAACAATGAATATTATTTTAAGTACACTATATGACTCACACATCTACTGGTGACAAGCACTATACAGTATGCGATATTCTTATATGTATGTACATGGACTATATATTATATTGTAATAATAGCACATTTGTGTTTGCGGATAAAAAAATATCTTGTCACACTTTTCACCTCACCTTATTAATATGATTTGTGAATTGCTTAAAACCCCGTTTAGTTAAATATTGAAATAAAAATAGTGTTTTCTACAACAATTTGTTTAACAAAACTAAACAATAACCATTAGTAACTTCTTTTTAAAAACAAACACGATTAATCAGTTTACCCGAAATTAGTAAAGTGAAATGAATACCTGATTTATTTATAATTCTTGTTTATTTATGCCACAATTATATTGATAGTGTCTGAAAAATAATATCGCGTAAATACTAAAAGTACTTAAAATAAAGTAAGCTGATTAAATCGATCATGGTGGGTAAAAAATAATTTTGAACATGAGAAAACAGAAAGGTGTTTTACAACAACGATAATGTTCTCAAAATAAAATAAAAAATCACCTGGTTAATAGTTGTTCGCTTATTTCGCAAAAGTGTAAAAAATTATGTATGAAATAACAATTAAACGTGAGAGGGGAGAAATTAACTATTTATCACTGACGATATAGATCGGGATCCTTGTAGATACATAGGTATATATCAGTACATGTAGTTTTTTATACAAAGTAAACCGTCCAATTTTTCATTCGGTTACACACGATTATCATCGGTACACAAAGAATTAGCCGCAGGGGAGTAGCATGACAAAATGGAATGATTTTCGAAAAATAATCGTACTTAAGCGTGACGAAATGTCGATGTCTTATGACATGCGCTCACGGATGGCTTAATCATTTGTCATATAGATACTACATTGTATCTCACAACGCCATTGAATTTGTCGCTTCCAACCGACAACGATTAATATCATTATTATTATAACTATATGGAACATCATTTTCGATATCGTTTAGTATACTCACGTCATGTATGGCAATTTTTGTTCGGTCATAACGAATGGTTAGTCGATACCAGATGTCTACATTATAAGAAGGTAATTGGTTTTTTTTTTAACGATTCCCACCTAACCATAATTTAGATTTTAAATATAAAAACTACTTAGAACACATAATTGGACTTCCAACAAGAATATATCCAGGCAAGCTTGGATGTACAACCCCTATGAATTTTTTAGTATATCAAACATATTAGTTCAAGTCTCCTTTAATTAAAATACAGCGGGTAATGTTCAAATAATTTTCAACTAATTCAATAATAAATGATAAGTTATTTAAGGAACTAAAAAATTAAGTTTATGATTAAGTTAACTAAGTACAATAAAAATCATAACTTGTTATTAGTCTTGTTAAATCATTTAAATTAATTTCTCCCATAAAATGCCTTATGTTCTTTATTGGACTACATATGCGCTAAACCAATACATACAACCTCGATTATTGCCTCGCATAAAAAATTATCTTCTATGATTTAGTTTTAGCATCTAGTTTCTACGAAATGTAGGTCGTCTAGTAAGAGTAAAATTTGGAAACAGAAAATCTTTAATGGTCATTTTTTTGAAATTATTAAATGCGAGATTGGTCATTTTAGACTCAATGGTATAATTGTTCTAAAGTATACTGTATAATAGATATATAGACATACGAGTACAAATCAACCACGTAGTTGAACTGGAATAAACTACATTTTATTTGATATATAGAGTAACAAACCAGTAATTAATTTTATACTATTTTAGGCCACTCTGCAGATGTATCGAGTAGAAGAGTCAAAGTGTAATTATTATACGGTTATTTAATAAACAAATCATACGTAAACATTTATATTTTAAAATTGTTATGAGATAATATACCTGCTGTAATAATACTATTATAAGCGCGGGTCCTCGTTTAAACTATACAGACAGTTGTGCAACACGTGGAAAATATTGATAAGCGCACTAATATATTATAATATATCATAATAGACTACGTACTATGTAAATAGGAGTAATTAGTTATTTACATAATAATGTTGCACGGTGCAACATAATATGGTCAATGGGCGCAAATTAGCATCTTGACAATGCGTCACGGAGTAACTATTATTTGGCGTGTTTAATTTCGAAACGGCCGTATAAGAGGAAACATAAGGCCGGATAATATTATGTATAAGTAGCCAAATAGGATGCCCGCACCGTTTTGTCCGGCGGTCACGACCCACAGCAGATTACCGGAGGAACGCGATGATAATCTTCATCGGATATATTATAGGTATTTATTATTAGTACACACAGTACAAAATATTATACAGTCTGTGCTCACTGTTTAGACATTGTGTATCTCAGAACACAAAACGACGGAATCGGGGCGGTCCGTTGAATTTTGTTTTTCATGGAAAATCGCTTTTAAACGCACCGGTCATTACAGGTGTTTGTTTTCTATTAATTTCATTATTATTATACGTGACCGGTGTTCCAAATTACAATATATTATTATTATTATTATCTATTATGATTATTAGGTCCGCCACTGCCGACGTCTTCGACATAATTATCCGACCGCCCGAACCAGAACCACACAGGAAGCACTAGGTGTTCAATTTTTTTATTCGATTTTTTTTTTTAATAAATCTGAACATGTAATCAGACATTATAAACATAACACATAGACAAACGTATATAAAATAAAATAACGTACAATATATTTCTATTATAGATATACGTCTTATGGTTACAACGGAGTTATAGACTGTTCACTGTAAGATTAACAGAATAATAATATAATAAATAATAATATATAATTGTATATAATACTAAAGAAGTTCCCAACATAATATTATGTGTATACCTATATGCATTTACATCACATAGTACAGAAACCTCTTGGCGCATCAGCGAGGTGTAATAAATTAAACTTATAATTGCCTGCAATGTGATCCTAAAATGCATAAATTCACTTCTCATTGCCGTAACGACATTTGAGATTTCTTGTAGGCACATTATAGAATAGTATCTCTCAAAAAAAAAAAAAAAACCCTAACAAAAAAAGTGGTTTCACACTCTAGGACGTCGCTGTCACCATAAATTTTCAAACACATTTTCACCTAAGCAAACCTATATAGTCATCTTACCCTTAAACAAAAAGTATATAATTTACTGTAATGGGGTGCTAACACCGAAGACAGTTGTGGAAAAATTATTCGTTATATTTGTACAAAAAAATTCCTATTTTTATAGATACCTATTACCAACATATTATTTACAACATATATTGATTTAAAACGCATTGGTCTAGTACACTACATGTACACTGTTTTAATTTTGCAGTTAATAATAGTTTAATAATAGCAATATAATAATAGTTTTGTATATTATTAGGTTTCTAAACAAATATTTAATGTAACGACGTTATAGTCAAATATCTTATAGTGCATAGACGATATTGCACTTTAACTACTAGTCTGTTAATAATAAATAAGATAATATAATATTTAGTGTTTCTACACTGGCTTTAGTGCCTTTAGAGTGGTTTCGAAATTAAATTCCTACCATTGCAGTGCGAATGAATACCAAATATTTCCATAATGTTAGGTTAGGTTTTGAGAGACGCGGGGAAAAAAATCACGAAATTCCACATTATCATGATTATGTTGAACGGGAGTTTTTATTAAAAAAAGGTTCTATTGTGTTCCCAGTTTGTGTTTTCTTCAATAAAAATTCTATTTAAATAAAAAATAATAATAATAACAGGCATACCTTTCTGGCCAACAAAGTGACTCCTCTCTGTACCTAAAAAAAAAAAAAATTACAAATTTACAATTTTTTTTCGTTGAAAATCTAAAATAGTTTGTTAGTTAGGTAAGTTTTGAGAACATGCTTTTTAATGAAAGCTGTGTATATACTAGGTAGTATAAAACTTCATAATACTAAGATAGTAATTAATACAGCTTATTTCATTTTAAAATATTTTATAGAATGTGGGTGGAACGTAATTGATCTCAGTACATACAGGATAATTTAAGACGCAGTAATAAAACAAAATTACAATAGTATTTTTTTTTAAATCTAGTTGTAAAATGAAAAGACCCACGTTTCATATTATACCTTTGTACCAAGGATATGGAATTAAAATAATCACATAACTATGTGCAGCTGCAGATGAAAAAAAATGTTCACAATCACAGTTCATGATCACAGTGCCTCTTGGTTAGGTTGTATGCAATACACTAAAAACTTATAAGCCATAGTTCAGCAGTATGCTGCTATTTATTAAACATTAACATTTTACACTCATTAATCATTAAATATAATGTTTTTAAGCTTTTGAAAAATGAATCGAACCAATCGACTAATTTATTTCACCATAGTATTAAATATAGGTCAAATTATTGTTATTATTTTATCTATTTATAGATTTAGACAAGTTGTAATGAAGTCATTGGTCAACTACCTTGGAAAATATGCTTTAAGGGGTCAATCATCTCGGAGTTGAATAGTTTATTTTAAATATATATTATATATTTATTTGTTTTTTAATTATTTGTTGACTAGTTTTGGATACACCTAAAAAGGGAAAAAAGTATAGCTCTATTAAAGTGTAAAATAATTCCATAAGGGACACTAGGGCCTAGAGGAAGCGTCGGGATTTTATTGCTCAAAGCTAGAAAAGGTTAGAATTTTGTTTTGGATTTTTTTTTTTAGTTGCATAAAGTATAACTTATTATTCGATTGCGATATTTAAGGAAATCATATACCTTATGTTCCTTAGCTATATATACTCTACTTGTATTCAGCGGTTTTCGGTGTTTATTTTCAACTAACAGCAGAATATAAATTTAAAAGCAAAGCACACGCGACTTATGTTTAAGACCCTCAAAATTATAACTGCAGTCGGCTGTGCTACGTTATCGAACTTATTATAATATATATATATATATATATTATTATAGATACGGCACTGTTCGTATAAGGCAATATCGAATATTATGCGCGTTTCTCACATATGGCCCGTCGACAATATTGTATTATACTGCCTTTCCGTCAGTGAAATATATAAATAGGAGTAATAATATGTTTTTATACACATGTATAATATTGATTATATAGAAAACTTTAAGCTGTTTGAAATATTGCAAACGCCCCAGGCGGGGGTGTATGGTAATTCGTTTGTTTTTTTTGGCTTTGGGATATACGCGCACGTATAATATATTTTTGTAATAATATAAAAAAATCGCAGGTACTTTCAAACACTTGCCACCGACGACGACTACGACGGTGGCGGCGACGTAAACACATGTCGCACACAGTGTATACACGAGACAACACAGATACAATATAGATATGCGTATATATATATATATAATATATCCATGTGTTTATGGGCGTGGGGGTGGCGTTATCGACATTACACAACCCCGAAGTACGTATACTTGATATCACATATTATTATTATGTACTGTACAACAATAATATATTCTCGTTTCTCGCGTGAGTCTTAGGTGTGCATATGTGTGTTTGTGTTAGTAGTAGTACATATATAATGACACCGAAAATGTCTCGCAGGTATGCACCGAACGATTTATTTTTATTGCCGTTCACCGATGACAATCTTCACACGTGGGGTTCGGTTTCACGGTAACTCACGATAGAGCTGACGGTAAGCGCGCGGTGAATCGATTCTAATCTCTCGTTGGAGACGACTCAATCATAACGCGGCCCCGGCTTGGTGGATTCCGTTGGAAAGAAACGCAGCCCGTAAAACCACGAGGCGCAAAAACGATTAAAATAATATACATATATTGTTGTATATTATTGACAAGTACGTGTATCGTAATTCTATGGCAATCTATGAAGAGTTTCGTCCGGTTGAACTTCCCCAGCCCCACCACTGCCTCTAGCGCTACACTCGTGATGTCCTGATCTACTTTAACTGTGCATTTCCTAATGTAATAATAATAATTATTATTGTATTTGGTTTCACATGGCTTATGTTGTCGTTTCCCCGGCGGTCACTGGTCGTCCAATAGGGAAACGACGCGGTAAAGTCGGGCGAAACTTTTGAAAACTAATTGTTATGAGACGACATGTGTGTGTTATGGTTAACCTTAACGATTGTTTTAATCGTTGTTTGAGTGTGAGAGGGTTATGTTAAACGTCCCCAAGCCTTCAGCTCTGTCCCGTACATGTGCGCCACACGATTCGAGTGGAGCAAAAATATTTAATATCGTTAAATCGGATACGGAGAGCCCGGGGATTATTCAACAGCATCCAATTGATGAGATGGTATTTTTATATTTTCTATCATAAAAACTCTCTAAAACCGATTATATTTGTAGTTAAATTTTACAGAACTGTTCCCCGGCATTGACATGTTTTTAATTTTTTACCATTTTTTTTTCGTGGGATACCGTATAATTTTAAGTAGCTGATTTCGTTGTTAAGCTAAAAGTACTTATTTTTACGTTTCGCTCCATCAAAACAATTACCTGAGGGACCGCGACGTAGACTGAACTTGCAGAAAACGCTAATAGCGAACGAAGCGGTATATACACCGCCTTTCCAATGTTATACAAAAACGCTTTACTGATAGAGTGTACATAAAATCGGAACCGTCGGAGTTTACAGCCAATTCCTTAGAGACTCTTCGGCGGATGTAAAAAAAAAAGAAAATATATAACCCCTATAGCCATTTTTTTCGGCTTTAAAAATTAATCCCATTAAAGCGAAGACTCCGTTCTTGTACCTCGGGAAAGTGTCTGTATATATAGTAGTATAGTTTCTTCTCGTTGCCCGCGGTGTCTATAATATATTCATGCGGTTTTCTCTTTCATAAGCACCTCCAATATTTTGGCAACACTCCGCCGCGCCTTTGCGAAAAGTGATTTGCATTACAGAAGAAAAACAATCTCGGAGTAAATCCGACGGTGGCGACAGCGGGCGTGAGGAGAACAGTTCACTTCACTGTAAAATGAGTACACGCGCGACTCATGAGACTTAAAGCAAAATGCAATTTTGGTATGCCAAGTTTACACGTTTCGAATTTTCGTTGATGACGACCGCGAAAAAAATGTTCTAGAGACCAGAATAAAAATCGTCTTTGGGTTTATCATTAAAAAAATATGATTATTGAAGAAAAACTTGAAAAAAACGCAAAAAAGGTATGTTTTTCAATGATTATGAGACAAAATGGATTTTACCGTTATGTATTAGACGAAATATTTTGTTTAAAACGGAGTCTTTTCTAAAGCTAAAAGGAGTAGGTATATTAAACTGGGAAGGATCAATGTCCATCTACATTTTACATACCTAGCTCATAGGGTATATACATTGATTGATAATACTAAAAATATTAAAACAATTTATATTGTTAATGATTTAAGCTGTTTTAAACGAAGGAATTATCAAAAAAATTATCAAACATACAGAGTAATTGGCATATAAGATAAAACCCTGGGAAAAAAAGATTCAGCTGCCAATTAAATCTTTATTTTTATTTATTATTTATACTTGTATTTTTTACAGAACAAACCCAAATAGAGCGGGTAATAGTAGAGTTATTTAAGAAATTTAGAGTCGAGTTAGTGATGTTTTTATATCCCTAGCTCATCTACACATTTCCTGAACATAGGAGATGTGTGCATAGGAGCGAATGTCGTGAAGCGGTACTTTAAAGTTGATGAGGGATAGGAGGGTAGAATAATTGAAATAGCAAATCAGTATTGTCGATATTTTAACCAACAAGATCATGAATAAACATCATATTACAATGTCTAATCGCACAAGAATCTAAACCAAGTGAGTCTGCAATTAAATTATACGAATTCCTGGACATTGGGGATTCATTTAATGGGCTACAAGATGTTTAAAATGTATACTGAACATTCTTTAATTTTTACCAATATCAGTAAAAATATTATAATTTATATTCTTATGAAATGTTGTAAAACCGTGTCTTGAGTATATATACTATTGTAGTGCGAGCTACAATGAGGAATGCACAGGAACATACAGTATATCGTGTAAAGTATAGAGTTGAAGACAATTTTGCGTAATGGTTACGCTTTTTAATCACTAAGTACGTAACGCAAACATAAACCGCAGGCTATACTATATGAAACACAAAACCCGACGCGGTTTAGACAATATGTACAAATGTCTTGGAAAAGTCACGCTTATTCCATGTGTTATATTGTACGAGTAGTGTGTGGAACACGTCCTCGGTCCTGCGCTAGCTCGGCCACGTGCAAACGTTTAAGTATAAACTGTTATGGGATATCTTCTACGGGTGTAACGATTTTTCTTTCGTCAGGTTAAGAACCACTATGGGTCGCGGGGGGAGACGTCGTAAGTTGTAGAAATATTTACTACGAGTGTACACATATTATAATAACAGTGTATGCGTGTCGAGGCGGGTTGGAAGTTTGAACACCTTATATTACCTATGTATGTTTGTGTGAACGTATACACAGTACTTACGCGTGTATAGGTATATAACATCACATAGGAAAACCACCGGAGTCCGGAGTAGCGTCCAGCAGTCTGAGGAAAAAGAAAAAGAAACGCATCGCCTGTATGAACCTACCATGAAGAAATAACAATAATAAAAAAAAAAAATATTAAAAAAACAACAAAAATGTAATTATCGGTTGTGGCCGTGGACCGCAAATTACCCAGGACAGACGTTGGTGTACTCACACACACATTGCGCGCACAATGGTAAAATTACCTATACGATAATTATCGTATATAATATATACCGTATACAATACGAATTTCCCACCTCGAAACCG